AAATGTAGTCCTCACCAGGCAGCTGTCTGCTTGGCCCCAAACAGGGAACACTGTTACTGGAGAAGAGGAGAGTGGAACCAGAGAAGTCTCTCCCACTTACTGATTTTAGGTACAGATGCCTTAATCAATTCTTAGGAAGGGTGGTGGGCCCACCCCTGGGCAAGGGATCAGCTTCCACAGAGGCACATGGGCTGGCTTAAGCCTCTGTATTCTGGGTCTGTTTTTTTTTATGGCAGCTTAGCTTGTCTGCTAGACAATACACTGTGCCTTGTACTGGGTTGGCCAAAAAGTTCATTCGGTTTTTCCATGTTACAGATGAACTTTTTGGTCAACCCAACACTTCTATGGCATCTCTTAGGAAGCTGGAAAGGGAAGAATGGGTGCTTTGTAATCAACCAGCAGAGTCCACTATATTACCTGCCTCTGAGGCCCTCTGATTCTGGGAGGGGGATGGGTTTAAACAGGTCACTATGGGTTAACATGGCAAACGGTAAACTAGCAGCAATATCTAAGTCCCAGTGAAAACAGTGGAAAGAATGAAGAGAAGCCTTCTAAGAAGGGATAAAGAGTATCATGAGTTCATTTTTTTCCTGCGTCTTACAGGCTATGTGGGAATTCCCCCAAATGATTTTGATTGGGAAAGAGCCTTTCAGACAGGGTTAGAACAGCAAACTCACAGAGACATGTAGGCTCAGGGGGTCTGGCTAGTGGTCTGGTATGGCTCGGGCTTGGGAGGGACGCTGGGGGTAGTGAACGAAGGCCTCCTGAGAGCCTGGGGGAGGCAGCGGCCCGGCTGCCAGGCCTCTGGAAGCCGCGCAGGGTTTGTGAGCCAGCAGAGACATGGGGAGATATGCGTCTTTCTTTGAGGTAGAGACTGGAGGATGACTCGTTAGGAAGCTATTTCACAAATTTGGCTGAGTAATGAGGAGAGCCTGCAGCGGGGCTGTGGTGGTGGGAAGGGAGACAAGCAGATAGTTTGCAGAGAGATTTTGGTGGCAGAACTGACAGAACGTGGTAACCGGGTGACTGAGGGGGGTGAGCAAGGATAAGGAAGGGGGTTGGGTATGGTTAAACATGATCCTAAGTCTACATGCTTGTGCTAGAAATCTAGAGGAGTACAAGGAAAATAAGTGTTGGGGGTGAGAGGAGAAAACGATCACCCACCCTCCTGAGCCTGGTCCATGAAAGACTTCTTTGGGTCCCTTGAAAATATGACATTCCTTCTTAACTCCAGGGCTTCTGAACACTGTCCCTACTCCATGGAACACTGCCTCGTCCTCATATCTCCAACTGGCTAATTCCTCATTTCCTCTAAGAGACTTCCTTTCTTCTTGTTCTTTTTTTTAAAAATTTAAATATTTATTTATTTGGCTGTTCTGAGATCTACGCTCTCTGTCGCAGCATGCGGGATCTTTAGTTGCAGCATGTGGGATCTAGTTCCCTGACTAGGGATTGAACCTGGGCCCCCTGTATTGGGAGCACAGAGTCTTAGCCACTGGGACACCAGGGAAGTCCTCTAAGAGCCTTTCTTGACAGCCCCCTCTGACCTAGATGAGAAACCCTCTTCGATTTTCTTATAGTACCCCATGTCTTTTTCTTACAAGCCTCTCAATCAGGGTGGTTGAATCACTCAGCTGTTTCTATGAGGCACCACATCTGCCTTGCTTGTGGCTTCATTCACAACACTTTGTCCAGTGCCTGCTACACTGGGCGCTCGTGCTGGGTGTGAGGTATTCAACAGTTGTCTTTTTGAAATAGGAGTTGGACAATAGTTTTCATCAGGGCCCATTCAGGTGTGATGCAAAGCAATGAGGCCGCCACAGGGACAGTTGATTGTGACCCCTTTTATAGGCCTGGGTCACTCTGGACCAGTGGTGCTCAGTCAGGGGTGGTTTTCTCAGCCAAGGATGTTTGGCACGTCTGGAGATGTCTTGGGTAATCCTGATTTGTGTGAATTTGTGTGTGTGTGTGTGTGTGTCACTGAGGTTAGTGGGAAGAGGCCAAGGATGTTGCTAAACATCCTACAATGTACAAGACAGTCCCCCACAACAAAGAATTATCCAAGCCAACATGCCAATAGTGCCCAAGTTGAGAAACCCTGCTCTAGAGATGGATGAGCCAAGTGGATGGCCACGTGCCCAGGTGGAGTCCTGGCTGCTACGACCCAGTTGAGGGAGAGCAAGACAAGCTTAGCGGCTGTCACACAGAAAATATGGACTCGTGATGAGCAGCCAGGGGCCACCTTGGATCGGCCTCAGACAAAGGCCCAACACCTTGGGCAGTTTCTCCTTTACTCAGCTCCCAGCTGTAAGCCCAGGAGGCCCAGCCTGGCACTCGCCTCCCTCTGACTCACGCCATTGGGCTTCTCCTGCTCTTTGGTGGAAGCGGTCACCGCACACTCTTCCCACCCCATCTGCCTCGCTGATTATTTTCAGCTTGGCTTGCAGAGGCCCAACGCTGCAATTACACCCCAACCTCAATGGCTCCTTCTGAAAATAACATTTGGGTCGAAGAAAACCTCAGTCTGGTGGGCTGGATTTTATACTAAACAGTTAAAGAGTGGGTGTGGGCATGGGGGTGGGGGTGGGGACAGGGAGTGGCATGATGGTACAATTAAGAGAAGCATCTGGAAGAAGGGCAAGGGAAGAAAGGGAAGGAGTGGTGGCAAGGGCTGTTGCAGAAAGAAAATACATCTTTGGGGGCAGGGGTCAGCCATCTTTTAGCAGTCTTATGCCAAGGCTTCATTTAAGCCCTTAATTGAAGGTTCTGTTTGCCGAAATAACTCACCCCTACCCCCAATCATTGAGGCCTGGGAAATTCATGTCTGCCTGGGGCCAGATGAATTAGTCTATGGGCATACCAATCTTTATCCAAGCTAGTGACCAGATTTTCCAACCCCAAAATAGGAGCCACATGGTTTGACACAGGATTTTTGCTCTCATTCCAGGCAAGCATGGCAGTCTGGGAAATGTAGTTTCAATGTTGATAGGTGGACTTTCTAAGTAGTTCCATGGTCAGTGGAGAAGACAGGACCTTCAAAGAAGGGATTCTCAAGGAAATCAGAGCTGTATGGGTAACTTTAGTTCAGAGAAAAGAAGAAAACACTAGAAAAGAGAAACTTTGACTCATCCAGGAGGTAGTGGAAGGGGAGAAGTAGGAAGTGAGAAGAGAAGACTTGGAAGCACAGGCTGGATTTCTAAGGAGGCAGACAGAGATAAAGCTGTATGAGGTGAGAAGCGGGTGAACAGGCCAAAGAGTACCATGCATCAGTTAAATGCTCAGTTCTGCAGTCAGTCAGACTTGGGTCCAAACCTGGAGTATGTTACCCACCTGGGGGATCTTCAGCAGTAACTTAGCCTCTTTTTAGGCCAGGGGCTTCCCAGGTGGCACTTAATGGTAAAGAACCTGCCTGCCAAAGCAGAAGAACCAGGTTCGATCCCTGGGGCAGGAAGATCGCCTGGAGAAAGCTACGGCAACCCACTCCAGTACTCTTGCCTGGAGAATCCCATGGACAGAGGAGCCTGGTGGGCTGCAGTTCGAAGCGCTGCAGAGTCAGACACGACTGAAGTGACTTAGCACACAGGTAACAGTACTGGTCTAGAGAGGTTAGTCGAGTTTGCATCCTGACTCTGTGACTTTGTGCAAGTTACCTAACCTCTCTGTGGCTCTTTTCTCCTCTGTAAAATGTAAACAACATCCACCTTCTAAGGTGTCCTAAGGACTTAGAATCTTAGAACAGTGCCTGGGACACTGGCAATCACTCAGCATATGTTAGCTATTGTTATTACCTCTGGGGCTTTTCTTCAAATGTAGCAGACAAAACACTTTCAGCTAACACATACATTTAAAAAAAATTTGAATAGTTATGAGTTTATTTTCGAGTGTATTAAAATATACGACTAGCACATCAAAGCTGTGGTTTCACTAATGTTGTTGCTTCAGGCAAGACTATGGAGAAAAAGGGAATCGATTTAAAGTTAATTTTAAAAATAAGAAAAGTTAATAAAATAAAAGTCAATTTAAAATATACAACGCTGGAGGAATGTGGGTATGGAAGAAAATCATGCAGGCAATACCTAAATAGATCACAAACTTGGAAAATAATCTAGATGCCATGTTCCTTTCTGCTTATAAAAAACCTTCTAAGGCACATGGGTGGAGAAATGAAGGAGGAAAGATAACTGATCTAGGTGCTATCAAAACTTTGCCCCTACCCCTCCCCGTCTGTAACCGCTGTTACCTTCTCTTTGAGAATTCGGTAGGAAGGCCCAGGCCAGCAAGACCTTGACATCCTAGTGAGCTTTGGAACCCCCCCACCGTCCCCGGAAAGCACTGTGGATTGGGGGCGCTCAGGGAAGAGGAGCCGAGCTCTGGACACCGAAAGCCAACTCCTCAACTTCGCTCTTCTGTGGCGTTAGGGCGATTTGGGCCTCTCTGATTTTTTTGGATCACTGGGTCAATCAGTCAGCCAATGCCTCGGGAGAAGTTTAATTAAGCTCAGATCGCCGGCGCGAGCTGCCAAAGGTCTCCCTGCCCGCCCCGCCCCCCGCACATCTGGTGAAAAGCTTCTCCCCTGCCCGGAGGGGCGGGCCCCGGCCCGCGCATGCGCATAGGCCCCACGCCCCGCGCCCCGCGGCAGGCTCCGCTCCCAGAACGGCGTTGCAAACTGTTGCATCAGACAGCAAGCAGCCGGCCGGGCCGCCAGGGTTTCTAGGAAGATAGGAAGGGTTTGAGATCCTTTGTGGTCTCTCGGGAGCCTTGGCCGTCACTTAAGGTGTTTACACACTGGTAACACGATCCCCTGAAATCTCACGCTTGCTCCAGTCGGGAGAGGGACTTAGCCACAGGTGAAAGGCGCTGAACTTCGCTGCTCCTGGCTCGCCACCCCCCCCTCCCCAAGGCACCAGACTGGACCAACCGAACTGGATTCGGTGCGCTTGAGTAAGGGCATGGCCCTTGAAGGAATGAGCAGAGTTTGATTTTTCTCCCCAACTACAAGAATGCCCCTGAGGAATTGCTCTCACTGTGAGAGTGCAAAACTAATTTCCCCAGACAAGCGCTATTGCCGGTTCCCAAGAGGGCTTGGAAAGATCCCCGCAGGAATATTCAGGGGTTTCCAAATCTCTTCAGCCCAGCAGCTGGACACGCAGACACTGACCATCAAAACCTTCTTGGTGAGTGGACACACTTCCTTCTTCACGGATCGGCCTTCTTTGGCAAATCTCAGCCCCCGTGTTAAGGAGGCTTTGGACATGAGCCACAGAATGCACAACCATGAACTCAGTGCAGACACAACATGCGTACACGTTCTCTAGATCCAAACAGCTCTGCAGCTCAGCTAATGGAAAAGTCCTTCTTAACCCTCTCTGGTCTTCTGGTCTACGACCCGCTCCTTCCTCAAGAGGAAAGAAAATACTTCTGTATCTGGAAGGAGCGGGATTTTCAAGAAGAATGAGTACTGATTTGGAATCTACTTTCTAAAGGGATTTCCAGGGACATAATCTGAATTTTTGAATGTATTAAAACCAAGATCTTTCAGTATTAATGGATTTTCCAAAAAGACAGAAACTGGCAATTTACCTTCAGCATTCTGTCTTTGCTAGGGTGTTGATGGTGAAAATCTATTCCATTTGAATAATCTTGAAAGCTAAAACAGGCCTAGTGTTCTTCCTTCCCCTCATCACTATGGATCACTCAGGATCACTCAGTCCCAAGATTAAAAAAAAAGACCCAAAAGACTCAAGCATTATCCTACACATCCTTTTGCCAGTTAGTCACTCATGCTTGTTTAAGCCAACATTTTCCTTTGGACAGTGAGGTACTGTGGCACTTTGGAAGTTTTCACCGTAGCAGATACTCCGTGGATATGGCCTGAGCTACTTTGGTCAATAGTGATCTTATAAACTGAAGTAATGACTTTTGGAAATGGAAGGAACCTGGGCTAGTGGTGAAGCTGGAACATTTCTGAGCCTTGCTTCTGAAGATACATCAGGACTCAAGCCTCCCACCAAATATGGAGTCACCACAGTGGTATCTGGGGTCACAGGATGGAATCTCAGGGAGTTGCCGTAAGCTGACAGAATTTCAGGTATGTCTGAGCACCAGTCCTCACCTGGAGAAGGAACTCATTCACTACTCTTCGGCCTCTCCAGGCACAGAAGTTGGAACCATGAGGTCAGAAGCCAGGTGGGAATGGGAGAGAGTAAATTTCTCAACCCATGTTAGGTTCTCTGCTGTACCGCTAGGATCTGCAATCGTAGGCCCTGGATGCATGCTTGTAGAATGAATGCACTGAAAGAATGAGGGAAGCAGCAGAGAGAGAAAAGATCAAAAAGGTCCAAGAATTTTGCAAGCAGCAGCCTGGGATGTTCAGGGCTTTCTTGTTTTGGGTAAGAGGGGACTCCTTCTAGTTCAGAGACATAGGGCAAGAGAGACACAGCTATTAAGTGACAAGTCTCAACAAGTTCCCTCTGCTTTGGTCTCCCAGTTTGGAAAAAAAACCTCCAGTTGGTGAGTCCAGAGTTGGCCAGTCAATCTCAAACCAAGCCTAGTGACATCATCAACTATTGCTTCATCTCAACTGAATTCCCGGAGCAAACTTCTGGAAAAGTAAGGGGTCTGAGGGAGGGTGTGTGACTGAGATCCAGAGGACAGAAAAATCCCCCAGAAGCCACCCTTTAAAGCCATAAGCAAAGCGATAGCCCAGATGATTAGATGATGCAGACAGGCACTGAAAGTGTGATTCGTTTTCCACATTCTGAGAGCTCACTCACAAATTGTCAACACTACACCCGGCCTAAACCTAGACAAAGCTCCTGTTCTAAAGGTTTATGATCTAAATTCCTTGTGGAAAGTCTGTCTTTGAAATGTTTAAGGCACCTCATTTAATCCTCATTTCCACTTCAAGTCAGGTACCTCCTTCCTGAGAAATCTACCACATTTGAAGTTTGTAGCTGGCCTTCCTTCTGTTTTTGCTATTTATGTGCCAATTTAAAGGGTGGAGAGAGCCACATTAGTTTAAAAATAAAACACAAATAGCGAAATGAGGCTTGGTTAAAGTAAAAACCACAGAAGGGATTTTTTTCTTTTTCCTCTCATACTTTTCAGATTTTCCTAGAACCACCTTTATTTCCTCAGAGCCCGGGCATAGAAAGTGAGTGGGCCTCTCTGGATGCCCTTCCAAGGGAAAGCTGAATGCCTCATTCCTATTCTCCTCTCACTGCACCTTGAGGATTTGTTTTCCTGTTTCAGACAATTGAGTCTCAGACTGGGGCTCAGAAAGCCATTGAAACCCTTGTTTCACATGGGGTTTTTCTGAGCACTCTTAGAGTAGATTTTGATTTGTTTTTGCATGGTTTGTATCTTAACTATTCTGTTCAGCTGTATCAGCTTTTACATTCTGGGTAATGGGTGATAGGAATGTATCTTTAAAGTCAGATAACTCCTGGTGGATTCCCAGCATTGCTACTTACCAGTCTTGTGACCTTACCTGTCAAATGAGAGTAATGATGCACACCTCTCCGGGCTGTAATGAGGATTAAGGAGTCAAGCAGAAAGGGCTCAACACAACACAAGTACTTAATACACTGTCTCTATTACAAAAATAGATCCTTTTATCTATTAGCTCCTTCCTTAACCAATTTCCTTCTCTGGTTTTGGAGAAGGAAAGCAAGTTCAACATCCAGTGGATTTTTTTTTTTTGCCAATTTTGCATCACCAGAGGGTTTATGAAGGAAAGGAGACAAGGCCGAGTTTGACTTGTAATGGGATGTCTTTTAATGGGATGGGATCGGTTTTCTGGCCTCTTAAGAGGTGACCACACCAGCAGTGCAGGGACAGGGGAAATCTTGAAGGCAGATGGTTGGGGTGGCAGGAGCACACACGATCGGGAAGCGTGGTCAGGAAAAGCAGGCCCAAGGCTGAGGTGTGCCACGCGGAATGAAAGGCTCTCACTTTGGGGTTCTGAGTCTCCGGGCCTGCAGGCGGAGGCCCGCCAGCTCCGGGGTCTGGGGACCGTGGGACCCGAGGCGCGTGCGGCAGCGCCCTCTGCCGGCCGCGCGGGGCAAGCCGCCAGTCAACGCAGCTCTGCAGGTGGGACCAGGGATCCCTCCCGCTGCCTCCGCCCCGGCTCCATCCCTTCAGAGGACCTCGCCGACTGGTCCCCGATCGGATTTCGGGAGGCGCATCTCTATCTGGCACCTGTGGACTGATTAGAGAAGATGCTTGGAAACATCCGATTCATCCGAGACCGGAGGCCGCGGAGAGCCACCCAAACCCCGCAGAGGCTGCGCCTCTGGGGACCCGGGGCCACAGCCTGCTGGGCTGTCGGAGGTGGTTTGGAAGTAACATCGCCTTTGGCCAAGACCGCGGGGTCGGCGGACAGAGAGGAGCCCTGGGTTCGCTTTCTGCCTCATCCATTTTCCAACTAGGTGACCTTGGGCAAGGTACTTAGATTTTCCGTGTGCCTTAATTTCTTCATCTTTAAGATGGAGAAAATGATTCCGACCTTGGCGAGTTAACCTGACAATTACACGGGATCAGACGGCCTGGGCTGAATTTGTGGCACTGGATATCAGCCAACTGTGTGCCTGGGGCAAGTTACTTAACCTCTCTGTGCCCTGGTCCCTGCAAAATAGGGATAATAACGGTACTTACCTCCGAGGGTTTGTTGCCTGCAAAGCGCTTAACTCCGTGCCTGGCACAGAGTAAGCGCTCAATAAATGGTGGCTACTGTGGCTGTGGTCGTTATTATTGTTCCTAGGACCGCCGAGCACACGAGCAGAACTCTAGCTGGCGGCTCTTACTAGTCTTTCTTGGGTCCGGCTATTTCTTTGCGGGCATTGTTAAAATCTTTTACCAGGCGCTAGCTGTCCTTATCAGTGGCCGAAGGACAGCCGGCCTTCCAGAGTTTGGAAAAATCGAGGTTCCCCTGGAGGAGGGAAAAGAACGCGGCCCGCGGGCTGCGAGGACCGGACCTCCCGCGAGGATGCGCGCGCCGCCCCGCGCCTTCTCCGCCCGCGCCTCCGTTAGCGCGCGTCAGAGCCGCAGTGACGTCGCTTGGCCCCGCGGGCGGTGGGGAGGCGCGGCCTGGACGCGCGGGGAGCCGGGGATGGCCCGGGTGGCCCGGCCGCGCGAGTGCTCTGCGGTCCCCGGCGGCGACCGAGGCAGCCGGAGGAGCTGCGGGAAGGCCTGGGCGGACTCTCCCGCATCTGCCAGGCGCCGGGGCGCACCCGGGCTCCGCCTGCAGCCCCGCGCGCCCCGGACCCGCCCAGTCCCGCGCAGGGCTGACTTCCTAGCGGCCGCTCAGCGTCTGCGTGGTCCTTCCTTCCCCTCCTGTCCTCTGCTTCCCCGCATCGCCCTTCTGATTCCTTTTCGTCCCCAGCGACCCGCTCACTTTCTTCTTCCTCTTCCCCCCTTCTGGACCAACTCACAGGCTGTGAGTGGTTAACAACCACCCACAGGAGGCGCCTCCCACTCCCAGCTCCATCTGCAGCCCTCGGGACGCCCAGTCTCTTCGCTGGCCTGGCCGGACAGTTCCACTTGGCTTGCCCTGCACGCATCTGCAACTCGCCGCGTCTTGTCCCTCGGTGATGGCAGGGCCATCAAACTAGACACCTAGCGTTCCCCTCTAAACACCTCTCCGGGCACTCTCCATCTCCTCATTCTAATTCCAGGCAGTCTGGTTTAGGTGTCCCTCTCCCACTGGCTGTTAACATACTCCCCGCACTGCCGCCTCCTTCAAATCCATCCTCCGCACACCGCCAGAGCGGTGGACCTAGTCATGCCCGGCCATGCCTTTCTCGGCCTAAGACTGCCTGGACTGGGACCCCAGCCCATTCCGTCTTCACGGACACCCTCCTCTGCCGTTTTCTATCTGACACCTTTATCCCGGAGCTACTCCTGGGTGTCGGCCCCTGCTGGGACCAACGGTCTCTTGACTGCTGTGGGGCCTGATCAAGGGAATTACTCATTCTCCAAAGCTGAAGATGTGAGTCACCTCTTCAAGACCGCCTTCCCGCTTCTGCTATCTGGCTGAGTGAAGTGGCTCTGGACCCCCAGAGCTTTCCGTCCCTGCTGCTTGAGTCATATTTGGCACGAAGGCCTGCTCTCTCAAGATGGCCTCTGAGGCTCTGCCCGGTCTCTGCACCGCCCCCCTCACCCCCAACCCCACTCTCTTCCCCCATCTGCTCAGGTCACACTGGGATCTCAGTTCCCAGCTTCTAGGCTCGCCTTCCCAGGTCAGCATCTTTGTACAGCCTGTTCTCTCTGTCTGGTGTACCTTTCTGTCCTTTCTCACCTACTCAATGTTTGGCTCTCATCCTAAGTAAGCATCATTTCCTCAGCGACCTGTTCCCCTCCCCCCGTCCCCCATTCAGTTGAATTCTCCTTTGCTAGATCAAACGGTATTAGGGAAAAAGAACACCTACAGAGATTATATCTGTAACACCTGTTTATTCTATACCCCTCCCCTGGCACCCCCCTCCTTGCCAAAGTTTTAACATTTGCTGTTTTTTCTTAAAAAAAAATTTTTTTTTCTTGATTGGGTTATAGTTGATTTACAATGTGTTCGTTTCAGATGTACAGCGAAGTGACTATTACACTTTGTTGTACATATGTCCACACTTTTTAAGATTCTTTTCACATATAGGTCATTACAGAGTATTGACTGGAGTTCGCTGTGCTCCACGGTAGGTCCTTATTAGTTATCAGTTTTATATATAGTGGGCGTCCCCACTCAGCAGTAAAGAATCCGCTTGCCATGCAGGAGCCGCAGGAGACACGGGTTCAATCTCTGGGTTGGGAAGATCCCCTGGAGGAGGGCATGGCAACCCCCTCCAATATTCTTGCCTTGAGACTCCCATGGACCGAGGAGCCTGACAGCCTACAGTCCATGGGGTTGCAAAGAGTAGAGTTCCTTGTGCTATGCAGTATGTCCTTATTAGTTATTGATTTTATATATAGTAGTTGGAGCTTCCCGGGTGGTTCAGTGGTAAAGAATCTGTCTGCCAATGCAGGAGATGCAGGAGACTCAAGTTTGATCCCTGGGTTGGGAGGATCCTCTGGAGGAAAAAGTGGCAACCTGCTCCAATATTCTTGCCTGGAAAATCCCATGGACAGAGGAGACTGGTGGGCTATGGAGCTGCAAAGATCTGGACACAACTTAGCGACCGAGCACACACACACACACACAACACACACGGTGTGTATATGTCAATCCCAGTCTTCCGATTTATCCCTCCCTCAAGTCTTTTTTTCCTGTATTTGATTTCAGTTAGGATTAATTTTTTAAAAAATTTCTGATTTTATATTGGAATATAGCTGATTAACAAAGTTGGGATGGTTTCAGGTGTTCAGCAAAGCAACTCAGTCATACATATACGTGTATCCATTCTCCCCTAAACCACCTCACATCCAGGAAGCCACAGAACACGGAGCAGAGTTCCTTGTGCTACACAGTAGGTCCTTATTAGTTATCCACGTTATACATGTGTGCTAAGTCGCTTCAGTCATGTCCAGCTCTGTGTGACCCTATGGACCCGCCAGGCTCCTCTGTGTATGTGTTAATCTCAATCTTTACCCGCAAGTCTTTTCTCTTTCTTTAAGGACAGAACTTTACAGATCTAAAGTGGCGCCCTCTGAACTCATTTTTGTCCCTTCTCTTAGGTACCCACTCTTCTGTACTTGGGGTTCATCATTCTCATATGTGCTTTTGTATTTTTTTTTTTATTACAAACATTTGTGCCTATAAACACTTCATAGGATTGTTTGGCATGCTTGTAAACTGAAGAAATGGCATTTGCTCGATATATCATTGTGTAACTTGCTTTTTTCACTCAGCACTGTGATTTTGAAATGTAGCCACACTGATACATGTGGTTCTAAATCATATATTTTCACTGCTGATTAGGGCCCCATTGAATGCATTCATCACCTTTTACTCATCTCCTTGTGTAAGATATTCAGCTAATTTTCACATTTTTTTGTTGTTAGAAACAAGGCTATGATTAATTTTTTTTTTTTACCCATCCCCTTGTGTGAAAGTAGCCCAGCTGGGTAGATACTTGGACATGGGATTGCTGGGCTCAGGCCGTGTGAATTGGCAGCTTTATTGGGGATGAACAGTTTTTCAAAGCGGTTGTACCAATTTACACCTCGATAGCAATGTATGAGTTCCCATGGTTGGCTTCCTCAACAACACTTTGGTAATGTCAAACTTTAAAACTTTTGCCAAGCTGGTGGGTGTGAAATGGTATTCCAGTGTTTGAATTTGCAACTCCCTGTTTACAAGCGAGACTGAGCATGCTTTCATTTGTTTATTGGCGATTTGCCTTTTGTCTTTTTTAAATTGCCCCCTTGGTTTATTTGACAGTGCTTCTATTGGATTATCTCTTATTTTGAGTAGGAGTTCTTTATGTATTCTGGATACTAGTTCTTCGTCAGGCTGTAGCCCATCTGGTGTCTTCTACTGCACTCAAGTGCAGTTTTAAATCAGTCTGTGTAATTGTTTGATTAATGGCTGACTTTCCTACTAGACTGTAAGCTCCACGTGAAGAGGTACCGTCTCCTGCAAGGGACGCAGTGTCTAAAGCGTGCATGCGTGCCACGTCACTTCAGTCATATCTGACTCTGTGTGACTCATTGCCCACCAGGCTCCTCTGTCCACGGGATTCTCCAGGCAAGAATACTGGAGTGGGTTGCCGTTTCCTTCTCCAGGGGATCTTTCCCACCCCGGGGATCAAACCCACATTTCTTAAGTCTCCTGAATTGGGAGGTGAATTCTTTATCACCAGCGCCATCTGGGAAGCTTGTCTAACACATACCAGGAACTTAATAATAAACATTCCTGTGCTGACTTGTATTGGCATCGTTTGTCTTTTTACATGCTCACCGCTTGAACTCGTACCTTCAGTGACCCTCAAGGCTATAAACTCCTTGAGAGCAGGAATCTGGAGCTATTTTCTTCATTTTTTGTGTCTCTGTTTCTATCACAACACCTCTGGCACAAAGTATATAGCCAATCATTTTTGCTTAATTTCCTTTGAGTTTTCTTTTTTTTTTTTTCTTTTCTTTCTTCTCAACCCATCTTCTATCCCTAAGTCCAGTTATGTTACCTGTAAAATGAATAATGAAAACATTCTCAGCTGTTTGTGTGAATCCCACAATACAATGTATTTGAGGAAGTAGAGCAGTGCTTAGCACACAGTTAGCGCTCAATAAGTGGTGACTTTCATTATTCCCAGAACAATCATTTTGGTGACTAAAGATACACTCTATTTAATTTTAACAGATAGAGTTCTTTCAGAGAGAGAGAATAAAAGTGAACTTCCTGAAGATCTGGTGAGCAGTTTTTTTTCCCCTTCTCTCTATTGGCATTTGACCCACTATAGAAGGCTCAGTCCCAACATGGTCTCTGAAAAGCATCAAATATCATTCTTCTCCCTTTCTTTTATAAATTCCAGACATATCAAAGGCATATGAACCATACATAGAATTCAGACCTTTAAGTGGAAACATATAAAGGCCAATTCCACGTCTTTGGCCAGAAGTCAGAGAGCAGAAAAAAGGGTCTGTCAGTGATACCAGGAGTGGGATTTAGTGACTGCAGCCAGGGACAAAGCGGAAGGCTTACATCTGTTTCCTACATCTGCCATTGATTGTGTGACCTTTGATCTATTTATAAAATGGAGAGAATAATTCTTGCTTTCTCTGGAGGTTGAACTTCATTAATTACTCATTTTAAAATGCTTTGAGATCCTCGACATGAAAGGCAGTTTGGCTGTATTTACACAGCGCTCCCAATAGGTAAATGATCCAGCGACATCTGTGCAAACAGCTCAGGGATCTGATCTCCTTTTTTACCAGAAAGTGAGGCCCCAGGAAGGCGGATCGTTGGTCCTGAGTTGTAAGTTGGCGACAGACAGGGGGAAGCCCCCTTCATCTCCGGCCCGGAGCTCGCAGGAATGAGACATCTCAGGGCAGCCTTATTTGATCAAGATGTCACGCTACTCAGAGGCCTGTCATCTCTAGGGTTTCATCTCTGCATGAGGAAAGCAGGTGGCTGCACCAGGCCCACTGCAACGTGAGCCCAGCAGAGAGAACAGTTAGAGCCACGGCGACCGAGGACAGCAGCCTCTCTCCGTCAGCTTCAGGAGGGACTTTGCCGAGTGGCGGGCTGAACCCGGACAGCGGCCCAGGCAGGGCCCCTCTGGAGGCTCACCTTCTCCCCAACTCAGAGACCTGGGAAAAGGACCCGAAAGAAAGTGATGGGGAGGGCTGAGGACAGCTCGGCTTCCTGACGTCTCAGGATAGAGCCCACCCCTACTGCGGCTGTTGGAACCAGCAGAGATTGTCTGGTGGTTGGAGAAGTGAGCCCTGGAGCCAGAAGACCAGGCTTTAAAATCCAGCTGCAAACTTACCAGCTGGGCAGTTTGGTCTCCGAGCCTCAGCGCCCCAATTGGGGTGGGGGGTGGTGGTGGATAATAATATCCCAACTTGTCAGGGTCGTTAGAGAGATTAGGCAAGAAAAGTCATGTGACCGTGTGCTGCTTGTGGAAGGGAT